ACACCTTTGTGATAACTTCCCGATTTATCCAATCTCATCCGCTTGAGTGATTCTGCTTTAGAAGAAAAAAACTCTTGCGTCTTCAAAACCAGAGTAGTATGTTGTACCTTCAAATGTCTTTCAAGGCGATTGGGCCTCATGCTATCATTACTTAAAACTTTCATACATATCACACACTGAGGTAACTGTAACTCGTCTTTTTCTATGAAGGTAAATCCAAACTTAATATAATCTTCGGAAAACTTTCTTTTTTTCGCTGCCATTTTGCAACCTATAACAATAAAACAGTAAAAAATAAACAAGCAAAATACCTACATGTAATTACTATTTATAAATGCCCATTTATCTTAATAACGTAATATATTTAACGTTTCAAAATTAATTCGCCACGTAGGTTTGATTGTAATGTGTTAAAAAAGATTCAATGATCGATCTACGAACGCATCTTAGCTCAATCAATAATTTAGTAAATTAAATAAAAATGACAACTGTAGTTTGTAAATACACAAACTTACCTTTTAACAGTGAAACACAATAATTATACACACTCAAACTAATTTCTCAGCAACAAATTGATACCGAAACGTCAAATTTTTCGTAAATTTGTGTGAATGAAAGTCACAGATGCTCATGCACGTCCGGTAGTTACTCAACTATTTTCTATCTACCTATGATCTAATCCTAATTCCTAATGAACGTTATGCGGAATCAGTGCGGAGGGGTTGCGCGTGGATTTTATGTAGTGGCTTGTCGAAACTTATATAAACTGCGATTGACGACGTTGGTGTCGGGTTTTGAAACGGTTGTTGACATATTTAATTTCATTAATTTTATCCGTGTAAATTAAACATTACATTGTAATATTATTTGTAAATATTGTTTGATAATTTTTTTTTCTTTCTAAAATCGCAAACGTCTTTCGTCCCCCTTGACATCCCTCTATGCCCCCCTCGTTGGGAACTCCGGGTCTAAGGAGAAATCTCTTCCAGGATATAAAACTTTACGCATGTTTTCAAAAACATGGTCTGCAACTTTTTTAATTTTGTGCAAACGGGAAGTTTTTGCATCATCTTTCTTGGTAAAACACAAACACCGTAGAATCTGTTCGAATCTATTCCTCGACATGATATTTCCAAATATTGGGTGGGAATATAGTGGATTCGTACTCCAGTAGCACTTAATGTTTGGCATTTTTATGTTTCCCATTAGCATGCATAATGCGAGAAAACGCCGGAATTCATAGGGAGTAGTTGGTTTCCATTTATTCATTGTAGAATGCTTCGGTATTACATTGCCAATAACTGACAGTGCACGTAAATTAATCCACTCGCAATTTTTTTGAAACAAGTTGTCATCAAACAGTATTTCAAATATATCTTTGGGAGTACATTCTTTTGATATATCTATTTTCAAACGTTCAATTTCTGAAAAATCAAACACCTCCGGTTCATCGTCGATTTCGAGCCAGTCGCTGTCATCTTGATTATTTACTGGTGCACTGTCCATTTCAGGAACATTTTCATCAAGGTCACTAACTGCTTCATCACTGGTATGTTCCGAGTCACTAACTGGATTTTGTTCTACACTAGAACCCGATTCTGATGAAGGCTTGTAGCTACTGCCGGAATCTAAAAACATTTCAGGAATTTCATCAGGTTCTAGTATATCAGAAAGACTGTCATCATTTTCTGAGTTCATAATTCGGGCCGCCTCTTCTTGAAGCTCCTTCTCTGTTAGAATAGTTCTTTTATACATTACAGCAAAACCCTAAAAAAGTTATTCCCTAGCAACATTCAAAGGGGTTTTACTACATACAGTTTGTCAAACGTAGGCAAGAGTTTGAGAATCTCACAATCGTCATAACACCGCATGGCGATTGTAAGATTTTCAAACTCTTTCCTATATTTGACAAATAATATGTTACGTGTAAATATGAAATAACAATACGAAGCTTCTTACCTACGAAATCTAGTAATCGCAACAGCATATGTACAAAATCTTTATGTAGAGACTATGCGGTTTATATATATATATATATATATATATATATATATATATATATATATATATATATATATATATATATATATATATATGACGACTTTTTTTAGGCTTATTACTACTATTTAGAATTGGCAATAAAATAATAAGCTGGTGTAGTATTTTATTTTAGTAAACACAGCCTTTTATGATTTTCTTTCATTGAAATAGACCATGCACCTGAAATAAGAGATATTTCGTAACATAACCATACTTTTCAAGTTTAGACCGACAGCGTTTTGTTTTATTTGTAGTAATAATCGTTGTATAGTAGTGGAATATCATATAAAATACCATACATAATACTAGGTAAAACAAACATACTTACATGGACTAAAAACAACAAAAAAACACAGCACAATTCAAAGACAATGTTGCACACGTGCTCGCTAAATTTCTACTAAACGGTAGGAGCTGCACACAGACCATCTGACTCATATATGCGCCTAACTTTTCTATAGACCACGTCCAAAACGAAATACGCTATCTGCGAACGTAACTATTTTATTCGACATTTCGAGCGGTGGGATCTCCGGTTCAAATGTGTGACGCTGGTCTGTGCGAGAAATCCGTGTGGCTCATATATGAGCCGCTTGGTAGCGAATGTGTTAAAGCTCCACGCAATATTTTGCTTTTCAGATCAACATTGGAAGACTCACCAATATTTATGTTCCTTATCCTTAACTCATAATCCAATTCCTTTCTAACAAATGTTCTACCTTGAATGCAGACATTATGAAAACCAAAAAAATAGTATATATATATATATATATATATATATATATATATATATATATATATATATATATATATATATATATATATATATATATAGAATAGCTGTTCGGATTTTTATTATTTGTTAAATGGCAACCACGTCAACACCATGCATGGTAATGTGCATTCCATTTTTAGTTAGAAGTATTAAGCATAGATAAATAATATAATAGTAGAAATAGATAGGCAACTCAATGTATAAATTTCGTTCATTAGGGCCCCTTGCGGCTGGGGTCAATACTAATCATCTTTTGGCAGAAAATTCGAATGGACACCCATTCGAATTTTAACTTTTAACCCTAGGTCTTTCTTATAACCCTAGGTTATCTGGCTGAACAATTATTCAAAAACGTTAAAGACACTCTGAGGAATTTATCACCAATTAAAATTTTTGAAAAATTACTTGCTGAAGAAATTATTACAAACATTTATGGCCAGTCAATTTTATACGCACGGCAAAAAATAATCACTCTTTTACAATAGCTCCAAACGAAATGCAAACTTTTTTGCAATATTAGATCTAACTGGGTATAACAGATTACCATGAGAAAGGATAAATTGGCCATTAGATGGGTCCCTGTGTTTACAACGCTATTCTTAGATATAAAAAAGTTTGTTCATCTAGCCAGACTAATGTTTCCATAAACAAATATCCATAGGCGAATCTATGGTGAAATATTTCACCTAGCAGAACAATTTATTAAAGGGAAGCCAGTCAAATTTGGATATAAGAATTGGTCCTAACTGGTTCCACTAGATATTATTATGGTTTTGACATTTATTGCGGAGAAAAACCAAATGATACTGAAGATACTAAAGGAAAAACAGTTGGAGCTAAAGTAGTGATTGATCTTTTGAAATACCTGCCCGAATCATCTAGAATTAAAATTTTTTTCGATAATCATTTCACGAAATATCAACTAATGATATATCTGAAACAAAAAAAAATCATAAAGGCAACAGGAATTGTAAGAGAAAATCGTGTACAAAAATGTCCAGTAATGGAGTCTAAAATTGTTTGCTTCCTACAATTCTGGAATGAGTGGCGTAGATGCGTATGATCAGTGCATATCATTATATCGAATAAGTTTAAAAGGTAAAAATGGTGGGATTTATTTACGTACTTTCTTGACATGATCAGGGCCAATGCCTGGAAACCTCATCAAATTTCTACTGAAAATGTGATGTAAATAGTGAGAATTCTGTTATCATATAGTATATAGTTATTTGGGAGATGGTATCACTTCAAGAACACAAAGAAATAGAAAAGCTCGTTCCAGAATTGAAGTCACCAAAAGGCTATCATTTTCCAGGACAACTGGAAAATAGTTAGTGTTCTGCGTGTCATATGAACGCAAGATAGACATGCAAAAAGAGTGGAAAAATAATGTGTATAGAAAAATGTTTTGAAAAATACCATACAAATACCTAAACCCATTTAAGGACGTCCTTGTATTTCCAAATGTTTTTGAAAAAAAAATATTTTTTTAATATATGTAATAGATTTAGTCAACCAACATTTATTTTAATTTATTTACTATACGGGACAACCCCAAGAAATATTACAATTTACAATATATCAAATTGTGGTTTAAGTACACACATATATTATATGTAATTAAATCATAAAACCTATAAGTCTAGCAGTTGATTAAAACAGTTTGATAAAACTCTATTGATTCTAAGATCCAGCACTATCAAGACGGGAAAATAAAACTTCATATGTTGTGTACCTATGGGTGCCTAATTAAGAATATCCGTCAATTTGGAGAATGAAACAACAATGTAAGCTGCTGTTTCATATATTTGAAGATGTTTCATTGCCTTTTGTGCAACACCATCAGTTCGTCGATTTCCTCACTTAGATACCCATAGGTACACAACATACAAAGTTACATAGTTAAAACGGTCAGAACCCTACAGCATACGTATATACATATATTAAATATATACTTATATATATATATATATATATATATATATATATATATATATATATATATATATATATATATATATATATATATATATATATAGCCATGGTGCCTATAAGGTACAAGTAACTCTTTTTTACAAATATTTATATATTCATTGAGAGACATATTAAATACATCTACATTCAGGTTGTTTAACAAAGATAAGTCTCTATTCAGTGGGCCATTGGCCCCATGGATTTTTCTATAAAATGGAAATTAGATTAAAAGTGCATAGATAATGCAAATCATGGTAATATGATACTCTAAGGGGGGACAAGAGAGGAACAATCAATTCTACCATTTGGTAATTTCAAAATCAAAGTTAAACCAAACGTCACAATTTTAGTGTTTTCCATTTTTTCCATGCCAGTTTCTTTTTAGACGTTAATGAGTTAAAGTAAAGTAAGTAAAGTAAGTGAGAACTAACAACCTTATATCTAAAAACCATAAAAACACAATAGACTACTATTAATTGATAATAGAAGTATTAATGAAATATGTGGAAATCAACCTAAAGATCTAAGACTATAACATAAGGAAAAGAATAACTAAATAGCTACAAATGCACACAACTAAATAACTAGGAGATACTATGATTATAAGGAACTAAATAAGACTAAATAGTGCATGATAAAATTAGAAAATATAAACAAATAAATATAAGAAGAACAGAGACCAATAATCTTACAAATTACAAAAGCAAAAACGAGCTTAGTGTCAGTTTAGTTCTGGCATTTCCACAAAATCATCATCTGAAGAAGCACAATCCCATTCAATTAAATCAATGACTATAGGAGATATGTGGTTTGTGTCCATTATTTTGGCTGTCTCCCAATATTCATTAATGAGGCTTTCTGCAAGCCTAACATATTTCCTCCATTTTTCTGGTGTGACCTTAAATTATAGCAAAGTTAGTATCTAAGAATTAAATAAAAATTAATTTAAGTGTTGTAAAGATTTTTCCACACATTTAATACTGTGGCTTCATTTGTAACGCCAGCAGAAGTTATATTGGCATCATAATACCTTTTGCAGTCAGACCAAACATTCTCTATTGGATTGAATTGACAATGATATGGAGGCAGTCTCAATACACGATGGCCATATTGAGGGGCCAGCCTATCCAATCTGTAAAACAAAATATATGAAAATGCCACTTACTAAATAAATTCTAATACATACTTAAATATTTTTTTCTGGTAGATGCTTCTTCACAATATCCATCAACTCAAATTTCATCATAGTCGTTGAACAATTAATATGTCGGTTTTTCAACCATTCTAATAAAGAATGTTTTGCCCAACTAGCATTTGGTATTTTTTCCAATAAAGCTGAATGGTATGGTGCATTATCCATTATAATTAATGACGGTTCTTCTAAATTTGGTAAAAGCTGATGCTCAAACCATTTTTACTTCCACTTTTGAAAATCAATTCACAGTTATCTATGAATCCATTTTCAGAACCTGCATTAAGAATAATGTATCGTACACCTTCTCCATTCTTCTTCCTGACTGCATTAACAGTGCCATCTTGCCAGCTCTTGCGGAATCCTCCTTTGCTGAATATCCAAGTCCCATCCAAGAACACTGGTTTTAAAGGGTATACATTGGTTTCATTGTCCTTATAGGCTTTTAAGAACTGAAGTCTTTTTAAAGTCACATGTGGTTGTTCCATTAAATATTTTCTGTTAGCAACACTACAATTTACCCATCTAAATTTTAATTCCTTTAAAACTCTGCTAAGTGCAGCAATAGAGATATTAATTCCATCCACTTCCTCTAGTTTTTGCTTCAGGGTATGAAGAGTCACATGCTCACCTAAAACAATCAAATTTTAAAGACACTATACTGATTCTTCTAGGAAAAATATTAAGAATGTAAAGTAACACATTAGTTTTGATATTAGGAATTTGTCTATTTAAATGCTGTATGTAACAGTACTCCTTTTATAAATCGTAATAACCATATTTAAATAATCCAAAGTTTAAGAGTTATAAAAATATACCTATATATTTTACCAAACTGCACAAGGTAAATGCATATACTCCAGCAAAAAGGCAAAGATGACTCTTAAATCTTTATTTAAATACTTGGTATTTAATTCAGTAGTATTCTTTTTATAATCACTTTTCATTTCTATATATTTTATATATGTAACTAAGTAGTTGTCAGTAACAATTTATTAAAAGAAATGTCTATGAAAATTAGTTACTCCTGCCTTTTATCAGAAATATGGTTAAATATTTTATCTAAACTGTTGTAATGCTCTTACCTTTACTAAACATTCTGTATACACACATTCTGATGGCATGTTCGTATTTATTTATTAATAATGTCGGTTTACGACTAGTGGCTACTGATTCGCTCATTGTGATTGAATAATGAGAATCTTTTTGGACACCTTCATTTGCCAATCGTCTTATTGTTGGCAAAGAAATTCCTAACGCCTCAGCAACACGCTGAAATAAACAGTAGGATAAAATAAAACAATTTTATTTTTAGTATAACTATAAACTTACTTCTCGAACAGCAGAAAGTGGTAATACGGTTTGCCCACCTTCTTTTTCTAATTCAAAATATTTAAGTACTTTAAGTATCAGAACTTCCTTTCCGTAAATCTTGGCATTTTAAAAATATTTTAATGAAAACCAAAACAAAACAAAAATATAAACACAAATAATGCACAACAACGCTATGAAATAATGTCAAATACTGACCTGAACCGACAAGATCACTTCACTCTACGACACTTCTAAAGGATGTCGAAATGAATGAAGTTTTAAATCCAATGTTTGTGACTCGCGTAACTGATTGGCTGGAGAAAGCGCGCATGTCAAATATCAACGAATCAAACGTAGGTTAAGAATAGACCGGTTATGTATGCAACGCTGTAATATTTTCGTGTTTTAATCACGGAAGTGCCGCTTTTTTCATCACATACAACTTAATGCGTTAGAAAGAAATCGAAAAACTGTGACGCACTGAAAAAAGGCTCTGAAAAGGAGAGTATGAAGTGGCCATGATAAGAGCCACTGTAAATTTGGTCCATGTCCTATCTGTAAAACTCACAAACGTAATTTTCTTTAAAAATATTTTCACAATTTTCAGATTTCAATTCTAGTATATCATGTCTAGTAGTACCAGTAATATCAAGTAGATTACCTGCTCATCTTATTGATATGAATAACATTTGATTACCCCACAATATTAACTTAGCAGATCCAGAATTCAATTGTCCCAAAGAAATTGACTTATTACTTGGAGCTCACATTTTTTGGGATCTTATATTACAAGATAAAATCTTATTAGGTAAAAATCTTCTATTACTAATCAATACTAAATTGGGTTGGGTTGTAACAGGTACAGTTCCAGTTAATTCAGATAAATATGTATGCAATTTTATTAAAGCACACATCCCTGAGGATGATCAATTAAAAAAGTTAGATGTTCCTACCAAGAATTAATTTCTGTCTCAAGACGATCACATTTGTGAATCCTTATTCAAACAAGACACATTTCGCGATTAGAATGGACAGTTCGTTGTAAAGTTGCCTTTAAAACACTCTCCTAGTTTATTAGGTGATTCAAAAGCAAACAGCTATTTAAAGATTTAAGTCATTAGAATCAAAATTCTCCAATTCCTATTTTAAGTAACTCTATTTTGATTTTATTCACGAATATGAAAACCTAGGTGATATGAATAAAATTTCTATTAATTCAGAATATTCCTATTTTTTACCACATCATGGCATATTAAAAGAGTCTAGTGTTACTACAAAACTTAGAACCGTCTTTGATGGAAGCTGCCAAAGCTCATCAGGATGACCTCTTAATGACCTTCAATATGTTGGTCCCAAAGTGCAGAACGATATTTTAAACATTTTGTTAAGATTCAGAATTTATAAATATGTTGTATCACGAGACATTTCTAAGATGTATAGGCAGATACTCATACATCCAGATCATAAATATTTACAACAAATTCTTTGGCGTAAAAATAATGGCTAAGAATATTCTATTTACCAACTTAACACTGTCACATACGGCACTAGATCTGCGAGCTGTTTAGCAATTAAATGTATCAGAGCATTAGCTAAAGACAATTTAGACAAGTTTCCATTAGCTTCTAGCACAATTTTAAATATGTATATCGATGATCTATTAATTGGATCTAATGATCTAAGCGAACTACAAGAAAGATGCAAATCCATTTACGATATGCTCAAGTCAGCTCAATTTGAAAATGGGCCTTCAATGATCAGCAAGTAATTACCAATTTTCAAGAATCCGATGTCTCAAATTCAGTATTAAATTTGGGAGATCATGATGTAACGAAAATATTTTGCCTACCACACGGGGTAAGATTATGGGGTATAAAATTGGGGACTGAGACTAAGGGGGTGGAGATAAGGCAAGCAAAATAATCGCTACTTGTGCGAACGGCACTCATGGTTTGGTAGGAGAGCTGGGATCGTGGATAAGTAAAAGATAAGAGGGTTGGATTGGGGCAACTACAAAAAAAGAAATAAAGGGGTACTTAATCTCTTCTTCTTCTTCTTCTTCCAATTGCGCTACAGCCCAAATTGAGCCTTGGCCTCCTGTAACTTCTGCCTCCAACAAAGGCGATCCCGCGCCACTCGTCTCCAAGCCCTGACGTTCAATAAGTTGTGCGCATCTGCTGTGACTTCGTTCTCCCATCTATTACGTGGTCTTCCCTTTGGTCTTCTGCCCTGCATTTTACCATCCAAGGCCTTTCTCGGCAATCTGTCGGCATCCATCCGTACCACATGACCAGCCCATCGAAGCCTTTGTACTCTAGCGAACTCTGCAATAGGTGCTTCTTTGAACAGTTGGTAGAGTTCATGGTTATATCTAGATCTCCACATCCCATTTTGAGTGATGGGTCCAAAGATCTTCCTTAGGATTTTTCTCTCGAAAACCTCTAATCTTCGTTTAGTGCTTTCTGTCAAAACCCATGTCTCGCATCCATAGCATTCTATCGGTCTGATGATAGTTTTATAGACCTTAAGTTTCGATTTTCGATGTACCGTCTTGGAGCGGAATATGTTAATCAGGGAAAAATAGGCTTTATTTCCCTTCATTATTCTCTTCTGAGTTTCGGCCTCTTCTGTTCCCTCCGTATTCATTTCGACTCCCAGATAAGTAAAACTCTTCACTGTTTCAATCTCTTGGTATAAACAAAATAAAAATACACAGGAAACACCTCAAGGAATTTAATATAGGGCGCCACTTGAGGTGCCTAATTATACTGATTACAACCACTAGTTGTAACTAGGGAAATAATTATAAAACATCAAAAACATATCTTTTTCAAATAAAACTCAAAAAAGGGTTAGTTCAAAAATAAACAAAATGTTAAGAAAACAAAATTTAACATTTATTTTTGTGTCATACAACAAACAGTTACAAAACATAGAGAACCAAGAATGTTCAAAAAAAATACAAAAATATTACCAAGATAGTCGCAAAATACAAAAAACTTACATGCGTTTTACTAATTTACAAATTCAGGAGATGCTACAAAAACTTACTATGTTACTGACGTATAAACTATGGCAAATATAAAAATTAGCTTTTAAAACAATGAAATCAATTAATTTAGCAAAAAATGTATGTCTTTACTTTGAACATTAAACAAACAATAACAGTTACCTTGATTTTTCACTATTTTTGCACTTAAACTTCTGAAAATTGCTACTTCTCTAGGAATGAAACTAACCGGAACAAAAGGAAACCATTTCCATAATCTGGAATGAAGATCTGACGTGGCTGGGATGGATCAAACGGGAAAACGGCAACAAAGTTGATGGGACATCCTATATATAGCTTCAAAATTATACCATGTTCTGGTATACTACACAAATTATTTTTTACTGCTACATGTTTCCTCTAAAGGGGCCAAAACAGAAGAACACAAATTCGACGGAAAATTTGCGGATCCATACTCGACACTATGACGACCCAAGTAAGAATCTATCTGGATTCACACCTGATTCTATCGGCGACCCAAGTAAGAATGACGAAATTCTCTTACGAATTCGTTCACTTAACTTGAAACAAACAAAACGCTGAGATAACAAAAAGCAACGAAACAACGTAGAAGATTCCATTGGCGACGTATAAAAATATTACATATACGAGGGGATTTCAATATAAACCAAAAGATCAATGAAATTATAAATGCTACAATACAACCACGTAAGAGCGAAAACTGGACAAACAGGAAAAGTTTTCGTTTAGAGCAAGCAACAATCAGGTTGGAACAACAGTAGCATTTTCTAACTACTGCAACAATACATAATGACTTCAGTAACTCAAACAAAACAAAAAACAACATACAAAACCATAATCAAAAACTACTCATAACTGTCTATGGTAATAACATAATAACATACAAAATAAAACTGGATTCTCGATTTGACGAATCGGCACCAGGTACAGTTCGTTGGCTCTTAAGCACAACGACACAATGGCAGATTTCTACTAAAATGGCTATAGCCTAACCAAAACCGTGGAGCAGACCACTGCTGAAGTTTCTGGAAGCGAAAAGAAGGGGTGCTTCCAGCTCAACAAACGCGGGTGGCCAACAACATAGCTTAAACAAGCTTCGCTATGGTTATCCACTAGATAGATAACCAAAATAATATCAAAACGATAACAAATTTGACTATGACAGTCAACCAATGAATTTCCAACCACTGGTTGAAAATCAAACTACACAAACAGAAGAAAACAGGATGGCCAATAGTTCCATAGGAATATCCTCCGGGATCGACACAGCGAAAAATTTCCAAGTCAGGGAACTCCCAAAAGGACAAAAGAAGAAAATAAATTCAAAATGCCAATACACAATCTTGGAAAAGAAGAAGAAAAGGGGCACATGGCATACAAGCCATAACTAATACACAATCTATTCAGTCTCGAACTAAATACTTCCAAAAGAAACAAAAAAAATCATAACAGTCTTCCAAAGAAACAAAAAAAGTTACGGCAACACTTCAAAAGAAACACAAACATCATTAGAGATCTCTAAGGGGACAGAAGAATCACTATAACCTTCCAAAAGAACAAAAAATCATTACAGTCCGTCAACAATAATAAAACTTCCAACTGGGTACACAAATCTCAAACTTCAGGGCAAGAAGGGTAAAGAAGAAGAAGAATATACATACACAAGGCAAAAACTAATGCTTATCTTCCTTAAAAGCTCAACAGGGCACCTGGCGGACGAATCCAAAACTTATCGACCTAGCTGTTCCTCTTAGACAACTAATAAGGCCAAAGACACAGTTTGGGAAGGGAATAAAGGGGTGTTGGTAACTGTTCAGTGAAAAACCGGGATCTTGAGTTCTTCCAGTTACTTGTTTCTACATATTATTTGGACTTCCCGTGGTTTTAGTAAAGAACAAAAGACCGTACATGAAACTATTTAATTACTTCTATGTGACTGTTATAATATATAAAAAAAGAAAACTTAATTGTTCGTAATAATACAACTAAAATATTACAAATATAAATTAACACTACATGTTGTTACATCTATGACTGGAAACGGAATAATAATGAATGAGGGTTGTTAGGTAAGCTCCCAAAAGGTGAGTACTTCTAAAAATAAATCCTAACGGTAATTTCTAATCTCCCTTAGCGATAAGTCGTTGCCAAACTAAGCTATGCCGTTTCAAAGACGACAGGACCGTCGTCAGATCTTTTAAAGTTTTAACAAGGGGCAACATCAAGAAATAAACTTCATCAGTTCACGGATAATAATCGAATACAACATTATCGTACAAATCCGAAAGAAACGTTCACTTTTCTTCAACAAAACTCGAACAGGGTCACAACAAATAAGATTGGGGAATTCTTAGTGGGTCATTCAACGGTAGTACTAGAAATACTTCAGATGTTTCACTAACATGGTCTCACAATCGACATAAACAATATTTTTACAATAAGCAGCGGCCAGGTACTTTTACCTCAGCAAATCAAAACGTCACAATGGACAATGCAAGTATTTGTACCTCCGCTTTTACCAAATCATAAACACTCATCACAAACTCCACAACAAGAAGGAATACTATTGAGACTAAGCCAATAGTCTGACATCAACACATAGAAAGGCTTATCCTTTCTAATAATTCACGGAAAGGGGATGCTGCTACGCAGTCTTACTCAACGATAGAAATATCCAAGGATACACAAATCCAGGTCACATGCCTGTACGTCCTACATGATATTTAAAAAAACACAATACTCAAATCACAAACTAATACATTTTAGACCATCAACACATCTCCCCTACAACATCTGACCACACAAAGACACGGAAAGACAAAAAACTAACTGACAGAAGAAAAACATAACAATAATTTCGCTATATATTCTCAACAAATCGGCCTTAGCCAGGAATACACGAAGTCGTTTCATCATTTTCTGCTACTTGTAACACAGAAAAGGAACGGGGAAAAACATGAGGACATACAGAACTAACAGACAGAAAGAAAATAACAATACTTCGCTTTGTCACTAACAAATCGGCCTTAGCCATGGACAAGCGAAATCGCATTATTACTTCCTCCTACTTATAAAACAAAAGACAACACGATAACACATGTACTGATCATGGACTGTAAACTGAAAAACATTTTCTTTTTCGGGGCTAAAAAAATTTTCAAACATTGCCTGGACTATAAAATCTTCATTACTATCAAGTAAAAATTTGACCTATATTTTCTCAAGAAAGACTTAAGAAAGAAGTGAAAAAGACAGCAAATATTTGATTTCACGCAAACAGCGCCTTTGTATCTGTTGATACGTATTTCGACCTAATAGGTCTCATCAGAACAGTTATTCAAAGGTGTTCTCAACGTGAAAGATCAATATTTTCTGTCTTTTAAGAAGCAACAATAACATGGCTTCGATACGGACGCACTAGCGATATCTAATTTAACAATCGTAAAATAGTTTCGAAACACAATTCAGATTTCCGCTTTTATCTGTGCTTTCTAAAAATTGCAAAGCAAAACAGACGTTGATAAAGGTGTTAAAAGAGACGTGGGGAATCTAAAATTTGCATTCCACGACACATCTTTTCAACTAAGCAGAAATCCTTAGCGAATTGGTTTCTAGTACTCGTACAGAGTAAATCCGAAAAAAGTGAAAAAGACAGCAAATATTTG